GGGTTGCTTCCCATCCAAGGGAGTGGGTTCACTCACAATTGTGCCCCAAAACACAGTCATGAATAAAGAATGGTACCAAAACACCCTCCGACAGCAACTTCTTTCCAACAGTCCAACAACAGTTTGGTGAAGAACAATGCATTTTCCAGCACGATGGAGCACCGTGCCATAAGGCAAAAGTGATAACTCAATGGCTCGTGGACCAAAACGTTGAAATTTTGCGTCCGTGGCCTGGAAACTCCCCAGATCTTAATCACATTGAGAATGTGTGGTCAATCCTCAAGAGGCGGGTGGACAAACAAAAACCCACTAATTGTGACAAACTCCAAGAAGTGATTATGAAAGAATGGATTGCTATCAGTCAGGAGTTGGCCCAGAAGATGATTGAAAGCATGCCCAGTTGAATTGCAGAGGTCCTAAAACAGAAGGGCCAACACTGCAAATACTGACTCTTGGCATAAATGTCATGTAATTGTTGATAGAAGCCTTTGACACATATGAAGTGCTTGTAATCATATTTCAGTACATCACAGAAACTACAGAAACAAAGATCTAAAAGCAGTTTAGCAGCAAACTTTGTTAAAACTAATATTTGTGTCATTCTCAAAACTTTTGGCCACGACTGTATGTCTGTGGTTAGCAATCCACTTCTTGGTGCATTACTGGGGTTAGAGGTAACCCGCCAAAAGTGAACCCACCAACCGGAGTGGAGTGGGACTGGGTCCGTTACTCTAAATAATATTTACTTAATAAAAATAATAATAATACAGAAATGTTGGCCTGGGAATAAACAACAATGTTAAAGGTACATGCCACCACATAATGTTTTGGGGTTTATAACCTCATGACTTTAGTGGACAATGTAAAGTTATTTTGTATTGAACTCAGTGGGGTGACACATCAAACTCCAAGGATGGCATATGCCACCCCAGTCCACTCCGTGGACATGCATCTGGATCCAACTGAGAGTTGAAAACAGAACCTTGTTAATGTGAAACAAGAGTTTTAGTAAACATTACCACTGTGTAGCTCTGAAATTAAGTCTTGATGTAAAGTAAAATGTTAGTTAAAAGTCCTTCCTCATAATGTGAACGATTAACTCATGCAGAAGATGAATTCAAGTTTTGGCAGCTTCGGTTGTAAAGGGTGTGTCTAGTTATGCTTCACGGGGGGATTCTGTATTTAAGCATCACTCTTTTTGAATAAAAAATTATTTTTGGCATGTTTTATTATGTTATGGATGTTATATAACTTGGTTCTAAAACTAGATTTTTTTATCTTGACATGTAAAAAGAAAGTTTATGAATTTATGCAGCAGAAAGGCCAAAACAAAAATGCTCCTTATGAATAAAACTACAAACCCTTTATTCACTTTTGATAGTCTGACAACAGTGCACGTGCATGTGTGTGTGTTAACACTGTTTCCGAATAAAGTGAAACTTGGTTGTTGTAGCACTGTAGGGATTTTTGAACAGCTATCCAAGGTTATCCCAGAAAGGAGGTATTGATGGAGAAACAATGTTATTTATTTATTTGTTGTCCCATGAGCTAGACACAACCTTCATGGATGTTTGATCGATTTATACAAGTTATTTTTTTAAACAGACAGATAGCTGGTGGAAACTAGAATCTCAGGTATGCTATTTTGTATCTGGAGTTTTTTTTATGTAAAGTGAAAAATCATCACTTATTCAGTCATCATTGATGGTCTGATATAAACAATTGGCCCTCAGCCATATAAAAACCTGACAAATGTCTACATCAGCAATGTTTATTGTAATGTTTTTTGTCTACTTCAACTGTATTTTTAAAAGATATTTCTACCATTTCCACGGCTAGTATTATAGCTTTCTGTGGTTTTGTCAGGTTCTCACTTCACTCGTCATTTTCTTAACAGATTTCAAACACTCTCTGACCCCAGGTCCTGAACTTTAGTATTAAACTGGTAGATTTAGGACTTTCAACCTCTCCATTTGAGGCAGCTTAGATTTATCTGTTACTTTCTCCTCCTGCAAGATCTCAGGTCTCCTCTGGGAGATATAAACCTCCACTCATTTTGCATAATTTAAACACAAACATTTATTGCTGAACACAACTGAATGAGATATGAAGCAATAAGGAGAGGCAGTAGCAGAAGCAGTGCAAATTTAAAATAACATAAAAATGACTCTCGAGAAGACAAATGTATTGTTCCACATGTAATGTTTGGAGACACAGCTGTGAAGCAATGGACAAGATGACTTTATACACGTTTTTTAAAAGGCCTGCTTATCTTGCACCTTTGGACTGAGTAAAACAAGTTCACACTTAAGGTCTTGTAAGCAGATTTGTTTAAAGCAACACTAAAAAGTGTTTGCAATATTTTCACTAGTTCAATATCAAATTCCGTGCATCCTGTTCACAAACTTGACCTTTTTCATTAATATTTCTCATCAAGGTAAATTCTAAATATTCCTATTAGCTTGAAATTTCACATTTTTATATACCTAAAATATGAGTGACCCTTCATTATCATGTGCCATCCTAAAGTACGGTAGCTGTTTAGGGACATACAAGATATAAAGTTTTGCACAAACATGCAGTCTGCCAAATCAACTTAGAAGAAGAGAATGAATACACCCTAACCCTACATTTGTTTGAGGGAGCTTAGAGAAACTATAAAATCATGCACTGGTGGGGACCTGGCATTGTTGCTACCGGACTTGCAAGTAATCTTGTGTGGATCTTTTACATGGTGACGTATTTAGTTTCTTATATCTTATAGTATCTTCGTGACTTATATTGTGGCTTGGGAAGAAGTGCTCCAGCGGGCAGCTGCTTCAGGGACCAGAGACGATCTCTGATGGATTATTGAAAAAAAAAGTCTGTTATGGAATCAGAGCAAATTATCAACAGTCAATTTGTGGTTTTCAGGATGTTTATTTTATTCAAGCAAAATCACAGAAAAGGCACGTCGGGCATATTGTTCGACAATTTGAAGTTTTTTGTTGGACAATATTAAAACATGTCGGTAATGTCAGACTGTCGGATGTGTTTTTGCAAACACTGTATAAATACACACACATACACAAAAAGAAAAGAAAAAAAAAATATATATATACATGTATATACGAACCATCAAAAATAAAATCTAGAAACCGCATTAGGATTTACAGCTAGGTGGTATTGGGCCTAGTGGTTGCATGGCTTAATTTTTTTTAACGTCGACAGTCAAGTAATGAAAATCGAGTTGACTTTGACTAGTCGTTGATGACTTAATACACATGAAGCGGCGTGGGGGGGTGGTTGGTTTGCTGGAGTTTTTGACAATTAAAATTGCACCCAAATTTTCAAAGTTAAACACATCTCATTCAACAACTGTAGTTTCTGCATCTATACTGCTCCGCTTCAGCCCTCTCCCCCCTCCCCCTGCGCAGCGGCCACAAACTCACTGATGCGCCTGCAGCCTCGCGGAGTTCCTGTTGCTCTAAACATTAAAATAATTATTTCATTTTCTCTTCATCACTTCTGATTACCTTCAATGGTGTCTGTTTGTTGCAACCACCAGATACAAAAACTAACTTGTTTTTATTTGACTATTTTTCTGTCTTGTCTGTTTATTATCTTCCTGCATCTCCTCTCAATCCTAAAGAAAAACTGCTACCTGGGTTCATATATATTCACCTTATGAGTTACCTTTGAACTGCAGTTCTAAAACATCTACCGACCGTAAAAACAGCGGAGTGCGAGCTGCTCGCCGGCCGCATCAATGAGGTGCATCACCGGAGGACAAAACAGGTGATGCGCCCCGCTCCACAGCAGCGAAACACATCAGGCACAAATAAAAGACAGAAAACATCGTCAAGGAGATGAGCCGACATGAACGATCGCGTGTTAAATTTGTTTTTGAGGTGGTGACATCTAATTTGATAATGTTACTGTGGCCGTGCTCAGGACGCAGATGTCTGAAGCGTGTCAATGATCAGAGCTTTGCATGCGCAAGCTGGTTAAGATTAGGATGGGGGTGAGGGGAAGGTTAAATTGCAAGAGGGTAAAGGTCACAATTTGGTTAAATGTCCGTTTTACAGCGGGTGTCAGTACCGACACTCTGGCACAGTGCATCGCCTCCCGACGCACAGGGGCTCATCACCTGCTGTCTTTTCCGAGGGCAGCATCTTGTCGGTCATTATCACGTGACAGCGACTAGTAGATGACAGGCATAAAAAGTCACTACAGAGCAGTGAAGTCGACTTGTGACTAGTTCATACAACCCCTAATTGGGCCCATCACTTCATTACACAATAACACATCTAATGTAGAGGATTTCAGCATTCTAGTTTAATTTAATAACACCCAAGTCTAAATTCTTGGAGATTCCTACTGTGGCTGTCTTGTTATAAAGATTTCTTGTTCTTGACCAAATTGAGCCAACTTAACCACCCACTGGTAGCAAAGCCAAGTGGCTAAATAATTCTGTTGCATCACTGATGTCAGCTGGGCGCAATTTAACACTGCGGCTTTGTTTTGGCTCACTTACTGCTCTCTCTGCAGTTCAGACACAAACACTGACACTGCAAGCAGAGCAGATTGTCTTTGGAGTTATGAACTATTTAACAACTGAATTGCTGCTTGCAGCTTCAACCCACCAGCTAACTCTTTTGTTTTATTTTGATTTTTTTAAATGATTTCTTCTTATTTTTTTCCGCCTCTGCATAACTGATGCAGGATCTGTTTGATGACCTCACCAGGATGATCAACATTATCAGTGATGATGAAGTTAGAAGTAAGACTGGTGTTAGTGAGCGATATGGTTGTAAGAGATGTTTTAAATCATAAACAACTACAACCAAATTCAGCAGATAAAGCGTCTCAGTCATATTTAAGCCCAAAAGTGGAAGAACATTTTGTTCCAGTTCCCTTGTAACACCTAATAAAATCATGCATTATTATATTGGGAGCTTTTTGGTCATGTCACCAAAGGGTTTAATTAACAAAAGGGACATTATTAAATTTCGTCTCACCTGACGTCGACTGCGTCCTCCATTACTGTCATGTCTGTTTTGCATTTGGCTGACGGGTTGATAGCGAGCTCAGCAGGAGGGATCACAAAGCTTTTGCTCAACGGAAGCCACATCCCTTCTCCTAAAGTGTATGTGAATCTGCAGGAAGACGAGAAAAGTTAGAAAACTGAGATTTGCAATAACAAAAGTAAGGAAGAAATCATTTAAAACAAGATGGAAATAATTTGTACTGTAATGTCAGACAGCTTTTTATAATCCCATCTTATGTTTTGCTTCTGGAAGTACTTGACCTAATGTGAACTCACCAGTACATGTTAAATATCCCCGATCTATGACCAATGGAATGAGTCAGCATGTCAGGTTGTAACTACAGCTGTTGGTGGAGCTAGTGTTCAAAGAGGAGTCAGAAGGTGACAGCTCTCCGGAAACGATCTGGAAAGTCTCTTTGGAAAAACCCAAAAGGTTCTGCTCAGGGGCGGGTTTTTAACAAATGTGAGATTCTTATGATGAGCAGATTCATATAAGATATGAGAGATAAGACAAGATTATTCCTTTATTAGTCCCACAAGTGGGAAATTTACATTATCATGGCAGAAAGTGTAGATATAGATACTGCCATTGCAACACATTCTCACTCCCAACGCGTCAGTAACAAACGCTCAATGACCCTCCGCGCCAGACCCTGACACCGAAAGTGACCTTTTCCATCACAGCTGGATGTAAATTGGTTTTTCCGACTGCAAATCCCAATGCACGGTAAAATTGACGCAGTGAGATGTCTGATGGCACAGCACTGAACCAACACATTTCACCGCATCCGAACCTTAACCCTCTTGCCATTTCTAACTTTCTTGTCACACCCAACCCTAACGTTTCCCGCCTTTCTATTTGGAACCTCCCCTTCGCCTGGGCCCCGAACCAACACATTCTCAGTCCGAACACGTGGGACAGACATGTTTGCTCACTGTGAGGTAAAGGTCGCAAGAGGGTTAAGGTTTGGACGGGGTGAAATGTGCTGGTTCGGTGCAGCACCAGCGGACATCCCATCACGTCAATTTTACGGTGCATTGGGATTTGCAGTTGGAAAAACCCCTTTGCGTCCAGCTGTGACAAAAAAAAAAAAGCACTTTTGGCATTGGACTCTGACGCGGAGGGTCAATGACCAAGGGTTTATTTCCAATGTGTTGGGAGTGAGAATGAGTTGGCTATAGATACGGCATATGCTATGGATTCAGATACAAACTTGATGGCAAAGAAAAGTGTTTCCGATGATTGTTTTGCAGGTCAGAGTGACCTGGTACAATTTGCGATAGAGAAAATCCATGCTGATGTACGAATACACTTTGAATCATCCATTTCCTATCTGGACTCCTAGTTCTTGGAACCATGGCCTGCAGCAGTATTTTGATTTATCTGTTATGTTTTCAGTTCTTTTTAGACAATAATCAGTGGTGAAAATCTCTGATGTTTTTATGAAATAAAATTCCATAAAGAAGCTGTTTTTCCTGCTACTCAAACATGTTTGTTGAAATATTGAGCAGATTTCGTGGCATAGTAAAACAAAGTAGATGTAAAACAACACTAGAGACTGATGCCAATCACTGAATACCATTTGGACCCTAATGTGATACTTGGTGTGGGATTAGATCATCCCTGATAAAAATGCGAGAACAATTTGAATCCCCCTAGATCCGGACTGGTTTGTACTGTCTTAGTATTCTGACATTTTATTCTGACATCCTGTATGGTGTTTAGAACATTCTCAAAATGAAACCACTTTAAACTCCTCAGACAACGAACTCCTATAAATCTACCTGACGACACCTTTCACTAGAGCCAAATCCTTTAAATGTGGCTTTTAAGCTTTTAGCTAACATTATTTATTTCACACTTTCCAATAGGTTGACTCCTGTAAGCTAAAATGAAATGACCTTCATTACATCATCACGGCTTTTCTACTAAATATATGACAAAATTCTAAATGTTGCATCAAAATAGCATTTTTAAAAAGATAAACATCTTTAATGCCTTACCTCATCTGATTTAGGGCCTCTGAATTTTAGGAGGTAATTTATTTTCCCTTCCAGTAAACTTGTGCTTTTTATTTGCATAAATCTTTCATCCAACAGAGGCACATTGTGTGTGTATGGATGAAATGCATACCAAATGTGGAAAAAAGGGCAAACACGAGTTTCCCCTGGGACCAAAGACAGTGATGAAACTGTAAACAACAGATGCCCAAAACAAAGGCCTTGAATCTATTTCTTTAGATGTGAATATGAATTTAATCAAACTTTAAACTTATTGCAGATGAAATGTAATACTTCAAAATTTAAGTGAACCACCTCTTGCTAATGAGCATAAAAGCTTTGCTAGAACTGATAAATAATGCATGATAACTTGCATAAAAAAGCAGTAGCTTGATTAAACTGCTAACTTTTATTTAATATGCAGACTAAACATTTTTTCCATTTTTAATGATTTAGTTTGCATTTACTAAAGAGCTAGCTTAGCACATGAAAATAGCAGTAGAACGAGAAGGCGTGATTAAACCTCTATTGAAACCAGAACCTTCAATTATGTCAAAGTAATTACTCTTTTGTTCCAAATTCAAGATTTATGTTCATAATAGTTTTGTTCTTCTTTCTAATTAATGTACAACACTGGGTTTTAGGACGTTTTTATTGCATGTAAGCTGTTTTCTGGTAATATTTTCATATTATTCCTCAGGAAGCTCTCCCCGCACCTCCTCTCACCCATTCTTAAGGGACCACGTTCTAGAACAGAGCTGAGATTCCCTGTGATGCTGTATGACGTACGAGGGTGGCCGCAGGATGAATTAGCTAGCCCTTAACAAGCTCTGTTTTATAATGGACAACTGGGGACTCGTGCACTGCAATCAGACTTATTTGGTTTGTCCTACGAGGAACTGAAGGTGGAAAACACTGGGAGTCCCCATGAGGAGGCGGTGGTTTAGTGGAAAACATGTTTGCAGTCCTCAGAGGAACTCCCTGCTGTTACAACCGTGCAGATAACAAATGCGGTGTGTTTGAATGCTGACGCTCAGCATTTACCTCCTCTGTTTACTTTGCCTCATTTTACGCTCCATAATAATTTCTTGGTAAATATCTGCTTATGCTAACAAAATTAAAAGCAGCAGGGCTCTTTGGTAGTGAACGGAAACTCAAAGTGAAGCATGGGACTGGTGAAACTGGCTAGAGACCACAATGGTTGAAATATGATGGATGTTAAATTAGGATGGATAGATGGGAGAGAACACTCAGAGGACGGCCACATTTAAAACCCTTTATCTTCAGAAAGAGAAAAGAGATGACTCGAGAGAACATGCCAGCCTGGAATGATTCAATGTTTCAAAGTCGTTTACAGGAAATAAAGTGTTATGGCAGCATCATCAGTGCGTCCCCCAAAGACGATTAGCAACCACTACTGGAGTCCGCATAAACTCTTTAGGTTTCTTTGTGTTAAAAATGGAAGCACACTCATTGTTTTGTTGTTTTTGCAGCTGATCTGTCATGGAAAGAGTTTACAAGTCAGGTACATTTCCAAGTCAGGGAACACACCTGCTCACTGAATAATTAGGTGGGTGAATTATAAATAAAATGCCATGGGTTAAATGTACCGCAACACCAAGTAGTCGTTTAGGATGCCACAACCCTTCTGCCTAGAGCTGATGGATGAACGCAGTCATTATTCTAACTAATTATTACCTACTAAAGAAATGAAAAAAATTCAAACGATCAACCAAGAAGTAGCTGGACAAAACTTTACAAAAAAGTCACATTATGAACTCCAAGCTGTTATGCAGTTAAATGAACTGAATTACCTCCTAGACGGAGCTGTAAAAGTTTTACTGGACCTAATTTACACGTTACCCATGTTATTTTACCTTTGGTGTTTGAAAAACTGACATTTACTATTTACTATGCTGACCAACGGGCAGGCCTGATTTATGTAAGCCTCATTTCCCATGACCGTTTTGGCATGGAACGGGGACTTGCAAATTTTTCTGTTCCGATTGTAAAACCGGTCCAGTCAACGACCCGGACCGCGCCAGTCATGGGACTTTTTCGCCCCCCTTCTGTTGTAGGTCCAGAAATGTGTAGAGTGGTATAGTTAGGGTGGAGCAACACCACAGTCCACTGATTGGGGGACAGAAATGCGTCACTACTTACGACAAGCAAAACAAACTTCAGAGTTCCGGTGTTTGCCATTTCATTGGTTGTACAGTACAGGCCAAAAGTTTGAACACACCTTCTCATTCACTGTGTTCACTTTCTTATCACAACCATTTACATCAGGAAATTCTCACTAAAGGTATCTAAACTATGAATGAACACATGTGAAGTTATGTACTTAACTAAAAAAGGTGAAAGACACGAAAACATGTTTTGTATTCTATTTTCTTCAAAAAAGCCACCCTTTGCTCTGGTTACTGCTTTGCACACTCTTGGCATTCCCTTGATGAGCTTCAAGAGGTGGTCACTTGAAATGGTTTTCCAACAGTCTTGAAGGACTACCTCTTGAAACTCATCAAGAGCTTTTGGCCTGTACTGAACTGGCCTGAGGAACAGGAAGTCTAAAAAGATTTAGTTAACTCACATGTAAACAGGAAATTATTTAAGTTGACAAACATGTTGACTGATTTCTGTTTCTACTCACAAAGACATGACTACTAGGGATGAGCCGGATACTCGTTTTTGACGAATACGAACATGAAACGAGTAAAACGAGTCAATATCTGTAATCGTGCTGAAGGAAAATCCTCATTGGGTAACTGACTGTCTTAAACGCTCTGTGATTGGCCAGTCACATAGAGCGCCCGCCCCTCCCTACACACAAAACTGCAGCCGGCCGGGAGCGCAGTAAGTCCTGTTCATTCACGCAACCACACAGACATTAACGGATCTCGCTGTTATTGCTTCACTGTTTCTCATGTTTCTTCAGTTTTCCCTAGGTTTTCTTCAGCTCGCCTCTTTTTCGGTTGAATATTTAAAGTTACTTTCTTTGTAACTTACATGGTGCATTTGACAAGACAGAGCTGACGTGCTGTTGTCACTACCCTCCGCTTCGGTCGGTTTTTTTTATTTTTTTTATCTCTCTCTCTCTCATGTAAAGTTGTGTGTGGTTCTAGCATTTCATATTTCCTAGTTCCTACTGCATGAGTTCAGATGTATTAATCCATGCACTCAAATATTAATGTTCTGATTTTATTGAAAAACTTGTTCTGTAATAGTTCCTTTACTGTTGTGATCAAAAATATTTAATCTCAATTCTGAGGCTGCTCTGTAAATAGTTTTCATGTAAACAATACACATAGCAACTTCTGATCAATCCATATCAATTTCAGACTTAAAATAATACATTGATGTAAACCACGCCCACTCCCGGGTTATGCCATGCCCATTCCGAGGACAGATACAGATAATTTAGTTGGTTGAACAGATACAGACACAGATAGTGGTGTACTCGCTCATCCCTAATGAATACATTTCCTACAACATTTTATCGTCATTGTAAAACCCCTGTGCAACATATCTATGTTGGGAAGGAATGCTCAAACAGCAATACCTGAAATCCTATTTAATTTCGACTCAGGACTTTTTTTGGCCAGTCAGATGGATTGTCTTTGCCCCAGACACATAATTTAATGATCCAGATGCTTAAGCACATGGGGATTTGTGTAATTTTGGGGTAACGGTGGCTCGCCCCTTAATCAGAAGGTTGCAGGTTTGAGCCTCACTCAGTCTGTCACTGTTGTTGTGTCCTTGGGTGGGACACTTAACTCTCCTTGCCTGCTGGTGGTGGTCGGAGGGACCAGTGGCGCCAGTGCTCGGCAGCCTCGCCTCTGTCAGTGTGCCCTAGGGCAGCTGTGGCTACATTGTAGCTCATCCCCACCAGAGTGCGAATGTGTTTGTGAATTGGTGAATGACTGATTGAGTTGTGAAGCTCCTTGGGGGGTTCCAGGACTCTAGAAGGCACCATATCAAATACAGGTCATAATTTTCAAAAACGGTGTAACTAAAAGCTGCAATTTCAAATCTGCAATACAAACTATCTTTTAAACACAAACATGAACTCTCACCCCTTGTGTCCACCAGACACAAGAGAGCCTCAAACCTTAGTCGCAGTTTTCTAGGTCCAAACAGCTTTTGTTATCTGTGACTTCAAATGGTGCTTTTCTTTTTGGGACTCAGGTCGTTTGTCCTAAAGTTGAAGTGGTAGCAGCCGGCTGTTTCTTCCTCTCTGATGTTATTGTGCATAGAACCTCTCACACCAGCGGTGTTCTGTTGCTAAATACGTGAGCGCATAATGAGTGGAGGACCCAGGAAGTGTGGAAGTGCGGCAGTTCGGTGAGCCCAACAACTGAATGATCCAATAGTTGGTTGAGGTTTTTAGACAAATGCAAGAGAACCACTTCCTTAATTGTTATAATTTTTTCTTTAATCTCCAGAATATATTTATGGCTATACTACGTTAGAACGTTAAGAGGCATGACAAATGATTTAAGCTAGCCTGTCTTACAGATTAGCATTGAAGCTTTAAGTTTGTTTTAAAAGTGTAACCCATTTCGCTTCTTCATTTTGTCCCCTTCAGAAACAGATTTTAAATTCCTGGGAACGTTTTTATGCTCATACGGGGCAGAGATAACCACAGATGTTGTATCAGAAATCTAACAAGCTTGTAGACTTCAGCACAAGTACAAAAAAAAAACCCCTCTGTAGTCACATAAAATAAAGTTTTGTGAAGTCCTCCTTACCTGAAAATACGATCAGAGGGTTGTTCTCCCATCACAAGATCAAAACCACGCTGGAAGATGGTGTAAGGCCAGGGACTTTCATGGAGAAAAATAGATCAGAGAAAACACAAAAAAGAGAGGAAAAGGCAACACTGATTGTTAGAATCAAAGCCAGATACCAGGACTTTTTTATAAATTATCCATCCATTTATGCAGCTTTATCTGTATAGCACCTTTCATACACAGAAGCAATTCAAGTTTCCACACCTGCCGTTTCTCCTGCCTTCCTGAGCTCCATACATAAAAACAGTATAACTTGTATTTCTATGGTAAACATGCAGACTAAAAAATGAGCTTTGCTGTCGCTGACATGCAACGTGACTTTGGCTCATATCTGTTTACCAGGGGACGGGATAGGTGATGACAGGATGAGACAAAATGAGAAAGAGAGAAGGAGACAGAAGGAGATGGAAAGAGCAGATGCTGGTGAAAAACAAAAAGAGAGACAAGGGGTGAGAGTGAGAAAAAACATTGTGGCGATGAGACAGATGCCAAGAGGCAGAAGTGAGAGAGGGAGAATGATAGAGATTAATGGGGAGTGGCAGCTCTGGGACTAAACAGTCTGCAAAGTGAGAGCGCAGGGAGGACAAGTGACAGCGGCCCGATGCCATTCTGAGCAAACTCCTCCACCACTGTGAGCGAAAAGAACATCAGTAAGAGTCGAGAGCCTTCCATGCCATGGGCTGCGATCATGAAACATTTAATTCACCCAAGGCTGCCCACTCTGTTACGCAGTGACAGGGACACAGGAGGAGGACCGGAGAAACGAGACGCTGAACGAAAGATTCAGATGCCTCAAAAAAAGTGAAAACCAAAATGCTCTGTTTTAACGCGACACGAGCAAAGTGGGAATATGGAGAGCTCCTTTTCAAAAAACGATGGTGTTATAGGTTAAGAGTTTAGCACAAGCTACTTTTGCCATTAGCACATTCATTCTCACAGAGAGGTTTTAGCAGGCAGCAGAACCCAGTGGCAATCCACAACACTTCAAAAAAGTCTTAAGTGGAGTATTTAGTTAGTCTTAACATTTCTTAAAAGGTATCCTGTGGAGTTTTCAGCCACAAGCTTTTCTATTTTTATATGTGGCTCTTTTCTTTGTGTTCCATCCCTGTGGTCTTTGCCTGCATTCTAATACTGTCAGAATTTATGCTTTGATCACTAGAATAACTCAATAAAACTGTGAAGCTATCCTAGGTGCTGATTTGCAATGTGGATGTATGTAAAAATGATGCATTGCATAGTATGAACAGTATTGCATTCTTCTGTGATTTTGGACCGCATGAAATGTTATAGGGAAGAGTTGAGTGAATTTTAGGTCTTTTGAGGAAGAATAGAACTTTATCTGTGTACATCTGTTAGCCCTAGATTTTTTTTTTTTTTAGAAATCTAATTAAAACGATTTGCCCACACTTTAATAAGTTTATTTCTGTAACCACAAGGTCTGTCTGATTGCTTTTGGTCTCATTTTAAAGTAAAATGGTGTGGGATTTGATGAGATGAGTAATTATTTCTATTAGTATATGTGTCACTTATTGAGTGTAAATGGACAATTGTTTAAAAGTTATTATTATTATTATTTTTCCACCTGAATTACTTTTTTTCCAAGATGAATACCACTTTGGAAAAAGGCAGATGTAGTTTCAATCCTTAATAAATTCATAGCCCTACATCATGACAGTAGCTGAACAACATTTGCCTTTGATAAAGTGAAGAACAACAGTTTTACAGAGGTTCATACACAGACACTTTAGGCACGCTCTCAATTTGCACACCTGTGCCAGGTGTGTTTTGGTTGCAATAACGCTTCATCCATGGACTAGTTTTTGTAGTCTAACCTTACAGCCATCTTTGTTAACATTGTGAAGTCATTCAGTGACAAAGTTTTTTTAAACATTTTTGAAATAATGTGTGTAAAATATGCCAAAGGCATTGGCTGAACCTCCACTTGCAAGAGATTATCTCAGGATCCCATTGGACTACGTTAGTGATTCAACCCCCATGAGAAACTGCTGAGCCAACAGAATCACTTGATGTTGATTGTTTTTCAGCTGGTTTTCGTAAACCAATCACAGAAGGAGAATCACCGTAAACCAAAAACTTATGAAACGTCAGAGATTTGTAAAGGCTCTCCAGCAGGTATAAATAGTCCAAAACAGTCAGGAATCAGCTCAGTTGGACGATTTGGACAAAAGATTACAACAAAAGAGTGGATTTATTTACTGTAACATGGATTATGACCTTACAACAACAAAGTTTAGACTGAGTTTATGCTTTTGACATGATGAAATTTGCTTTGTTTTGATGCTTTGTCAGCAATTTCCTCAAAGAGTTTTTCCACATAAAGTAATGAAAGAGGAGAGTCTGGGCTTTACTTGCTACTGTGGATAGGATCATATTACATTGTTGCTACTTACAGCCTTTTTAATTAGCAGCTTATTATTGGCGCTGGGTGCTCGTACGACTTTGTTACCGAAAGTGCACTTGGCGTGAATCTTGGCATGACCTTTGACCCAGCTCTCACCCTGGATTCTGTCAGTTCTCTTGTTCACTCTTCCTTCTTCCGTCTCAGGAACATTGCTAAGCTGAGTCCCATTCTGTCCCACTCTGAACCTGAGACAGTTATCCACACCTCCATCTCCTCACGCTTAGTCTACTGTAACTCTCTTTTCACGTGTCTGAGCAGAACCTCCCTGAACCATCTACAGGTGGTTCAGAATGCCTGTGCTCGGCTTCTGACCAAGTCCTCCAAACACACCCACATCACCCCGCTTCTCCTCCAGCTTCACTGGCTGCCAGTCAACTTCAGGGTTCATTTCAAGATCCTGGTTCTGGTCTATAGGGCCTTACATGGACAAGCACCATCTTACATTGGTGATCTTCTTAGTCTCTACACCCCCAGCAGGTCCCTGAGGTCCAGTGATCAAAGCCTACTGGTTGTGCAGCACCAGGCTAAAGACCAAAGATGACAGATCATTTGCTGCTGTGGCCCCCAGACTCTGGAACTTTCTCCCCCTGAGCCTGAGATCAGTGGACTCAGTGGTCTCCTTTAAACAGCAGCTGAAAACTCACTTGTTCAAAGTGGCTTTTGTATGACCTTCTTCACCACTCTCTCTTTATTCTGCTCTCCCCACCTATTCCACCTTCCTCAGGATCCACTGATTTCCCTCTTTCCTATTCACTCTCTCTCTTTCTTAACATTTTGTTTTTTAATCACAATTGTCTGTTTTTTGCTCATTTAAAATATATTTTTAACTATTTTCTAAGTGCTTTTTTATATTTTTACATTTTTTGTTTTTGTGAAGCGCCTCGTGATTTTTATCTTGAGAGGCGCTATAGAAATTATATTTTCTTCTTCTTCTTGTTCCTGATACCAGGCCCATCAGGTTCTTAAACCCAACTAAACAGACACATGATGACTTAGTAAGGGTGTGTTGGTAAGAATCTGGAGACAGTGGCGCAAAAAGTGAGCATGAAGTGTATGCGAAGCATAGGGGTGCCGAGCTGGAGGGTGCGCCAATGGGATGATGCAAACATATTTTTTGTCCGCATTTCCTGTGTTTAATAACAGCTGTGTTTTTGTCTGTTTGTGTATCTGCAAATTATATAATTTATAACTGAATTTCGTCAGTGATTAGGCACCCCTCCGCTTCTTAAACATTCTTACCAGCCTGTAATTCTACGTTTTTTTTTTCTCAAATTGTACCAGACTGATGCTTTTAAATATGAAATGTCCAAAAAGTTCTTACAGTACCCCCTAGAGTAGTTCCATACTACTCTAGGGGGTACATACTAGTCGCCAAAGCAAAGTGATAATGAAGCAGCAGGTTGCCCTTGAGGCTAACAACAAACACTAGTCAATCATAGGTGGCAGTGAGGCAGCATAATGAATCATAAAGGAAAGTGAACAAGGTGTGGACAGTAGAGTCGGGGACGTGTGCAGGGAGGGTCCTAGTTCAGAAGATGCTCTCTGAAGAGCAGGGTCTACAGGAGTTTCTTGAAAATCGACAAGGACGCCCCTGTTCTGGTAGTGCTTGGTAAGTCTGGATTGTCCTGAGTGTTGTGTAGACACTGCTAGCCCTATAGGGCATGCTGTGAATTTGATGCGTGCAGCTAAACATAGCCAATGGAGCTCAGTGATATGTCGAGATACTAAAAACCAGACAATTTTGGTATTTTTAGAGCAAATTTAACTGAAAAACTCAGGTCACACCCCAGACACATCCAGTTTAATCGCAAAATGTTGTTGTTCCATATAAATGAAGATGATAAAATATGTTACCCCCTAGCAGTTGGAGTTGGAATTGCACCTCACAAAAGCCATACAGTAAATGTTTGGATGAAAACTCGATTCATTGGTTTTAAATATGTATTCAGTATCAAAACACAAAATATTGCTATATTTCAGTGCATTGATATTTTCCTACATCCCTAAAACGTATTATCAGATTCCATAAATCAACTGAATCTAGTCTCAGTTTGAACATACATCTACTTTCATCTCGATCTTCCTTTGCTCCCCAACAATAATTGGCACTGATGACCTCATAACTCATCATAACAAAACTGTAACATGTGTTTTGTTAAGAAGGACGAGTCCTTTGTTGCTCCTCTATTTCAGCTTGGCATGATGATGAGCAATCACAAACAGTGATTATCACAACTTACCCCTGATTGGGGCCCCATTCGCTGCGAATGCAGAGATGCTTGTGGACGGGGTCCTTCATGTAGCCGTCTAAGCAAAGACATTCTCCTGCAAACAAAAAGGCACATCTTCAATTACCGGTTCTTGTACTCAAGTCCTTTTTCAATTGGGTGAAAATGTCCCGCTTCACCTCCTTTGTTTAGCTCTGTGAGAGCTTTTTCAAAGGTGAACTTCTTGAGGTAATTACAGCATTCATCATCATTCTTTTTTTAAGGAGGTAGTCAACAATGCGCCAATAAGGCACGCCAACAGGAGGAGATGTCATCGGTTCTTTGTATAAAATGCAGCTGCTTTTAAAGCCAATGTCAACTAATGCTGGCATGATTTCAAACTAGCAGCTCCACTTAAAGACCATTCACGATGTGCTATTCTTCTGAGTATGAAAGCCTTTTGAATGCAACTTGCTCCGTTTGCACTTTCATACTGACTAGAAATATATTCAACCATAAAAAGTCTTAAAGCGAAATATCTCACTTGTATGAGCAAAATAACTGCATGAACATCAGAAGAGTCTGAATTTATTTTCTCATCGGGCTGCAAAGACCATACCCATAATCTGGGCTCCCACCAGAGAATGCTGCTGTTGTGTCCTTGGGCAAGACACTTAACCCACCTTGCCTGCTGGTGGTGGTCAGAGGGATCGGTGGCGCCTATGTTGGCACGCCTCGCCTCTGTCAGTGCGCCCCAGGTCAGCTGTGGCTACATCGTAGCTCATCATCATCAGTGTGTGAATGTGTGTGTGAATGGATGAATGACTGATTGTGTTGTGAAGCGCCTTGGGGGGTTGTAGAACTCTAAGGAGGTGATATCTACCTTAAAATCTAACTCCAACTAGTGTTTCTATAGACGTACAGTAAAACACCAGATACCCGTCTGTACCTTAAGGAACGAAGGGCAGCTAAAGATGGAGGTTACAAAAAAACATGAATCACTGATCCTCATACTGAAGACACTCTTGGCAACTACGGACTTAAGGGAAAGCTTAAAACATTCAGTGTTGCTATGTGATGAAACTTATTCCAGTTTGCAACTTGCAGCACCGTTATTCTCATATTTTGCATTTTGTCATTCATTTATGGTAACTTTGTTTTGAATTGTTCTAATTTATACAGAAAACAATACCAATAAAGTTGCTCTCTTGTGGCAGTTTGTGAGTTTTGACACGTTTTATTGGCCTACATCCGAATTATTGGTGGCTATTGCTTCCATCTCAGAGCCATCACATTAAAACAAAATAACACGTTCATAGTTAATGTTCCTAATATTTACAATTGTGAAAATAAGATGTTCTCTACTCATTACACTCAATAAAAAGAAAATGTTAAGATGAATTTAACACAGAAATCATATTAGTGGTGCAGCAGACTCAGCTCACAAGGTGAGTGACACGAGCAGTAATTAGTCTTCAAGTTGGTGCCAATATTTACTAAAAATAAAGCTAATGTGGAATAATGGAATCCCAGAATTCCCTTGTTTATGTGCGGAAGGGCAACATTTTGGCAAACTGATTTAGAAGAATCTCTTTCTAGGAGCCCATGTGGGATTGTTGGACCGAACGTGCAGATCTGGTGATGTTTGATACAATAGAAAGAAAATGTCTGCTGAATGCCCAATATCTCACTGTGGGACTAAAGCTATATTGATGCTCTTTGATGGCACGGTGCCGATAAGCAAATACTGTTAACAAAGAACAGTGTAGCATCAGCTTTTTGTACCAGTGTCTACTCTCAGGAGGAATGTCGGCATTGACTTAGCTCTGTATGACTGATGGGGTCTCACCTTTGATTCGGAGGCTTATCCAGGAGTAACATGTTCAACATGCTCTCCTCCTGCTCAATGGGAGGAACGTAAGGAGTGCATGTCTATGGGCTTTAATTTGACCTTGTTAACGGGAAGGGCAACTGTCAGTACCTGCCATGAAGCCACATTCAGAGATTCTGGTATTTATGTCACTGCCTTAAGAAGGAAAGGACTTTTTTAACAACTAGGTATCATTTACTTCACTTCAACAACATTTCAATGGATACTTCCAGATATCAACAGTAAAAACTACAAATTATCTCTTTAGGTTCTCAATCAACAGGCTCTGAGCACGTCTATAGATTTCACACTCACTGCATTCCATTGTTCCAGTTCCACCTTAAAAAGAACGGAGCAAGGGTAAGCAAAATGCACAGCTAACCTTTAAAAAGCCCGGAAGGCCCGATCTACGTGTGGGCAGAAGCGACAGCATCAGAAGGCTGCATTAATTCATGCACGGGTGTGTCACGTGTGCACAGAGTTATTCGGCTCATCAAGAAGACACACACACACACACACCTACTCATTAATCCATTACGCAGTCACATTAATTAAGACAGCATGTCATGATGTTGTAATACGCATTTCCAGAGGCGCAACGTGTCTGTCTGTGTTTCATAAAAGTCCCACGAGCTTCGGAGCAGAAACAGAGTCAGAGGATACGGGTGAAAACAGCCAGTAAACATCAGCGCCTAAAGAAGGCAGGTTTAGAGTTGTGCAAGAAGGGACGGATGACGCTAAAGCATCTGCTGCCTCTTAACATTTTGCAAGAGCAGCACTGATACTGTCACAACCCATCTCAGTTTTCATCTGTATCTCCTGCTGCAGAGCAAAGGACTGGATATAAGCTAACTATAGTACCTATGCAATCTGCTTGCATCCAAAAATCACATTGGCTTACTTTCATTTGTGCAGCATCCTGCTGCCACCCACCTGCTACCCACACGGCTCACAGAATCATGCATATGAGCTAAATGAAGAAACAATAAAAAAGTACTAATATTAAAAAAAATGAAGAAAACTTTAATTTACATTTATTGTTGCAAAAAAGATTCTTATAATTTGTGATGAGGTAAAAAAACAAGGGAGAAAATGTTCCCATGTAACCAGATGATCACTGTTTATGTATAAACTGTTTATTCTAACAAACTTAAAGGACACATGTGTTATATTTGCTATAATTAGCTATACATATATTTTAAAGAATTCAGCAGTTGTTTTATTTCAATTCAAGAATTAATGTAGAGGAAACGACCATGAAACACTCAAATACATGTTTTCTTTCATGCATTTAAAGGTCTCCGAATTTATTCTGCCCAGGGGAGAGTGGAGCTGCTAAATAATGGATGAAAACATGGAAGACAAGTTTAAATGGTAAATTTCATCCTGGACTCATCATCTGAGTGTTTGGGGCATTCTAAGAAACAAAGAAAAACTACAAATGATGCTTTATTACTCTTTTCCCCAAAGGAATTCATCCTTTAGGTATCTTATGGGTAGGAGTGTGAACACAATAGCAACAATCTTTATGCAACTCTACAATGTTTGATCCAAACATTCATACATTTAAATAAATTGGTTAAGGAGTAATATCTTCAGGTTCACTAATAGTCTACGAGGGAAAGGCTTTAGTTGAGTGTAGATGGATAAAAAAGCAGATTCAGACCTTCATCATCAGAAACTTTTTAGCAGCTTGACTGCACACATCAGATTTAAAGCGAGCAATCCAGTGGCGGCGCCAGGGGGGCGCTATATCTACCCCTGGATTAGTCATTGCACCCCATAGCACCCCCAAGTAAATATTAGATTTTTGTTTTACAATTTGATTTTAATTTAACGTGTGGATGTGATATTTAACAAACAAAACAAAAATATTCAGTAAATTATCATATAGATAGTAAAAACTTAAACCAAAACAGGAAATTGATGTTTACCTTTGACCTCATTTTCCACCTGCAAACGAGAGAAAGGTAGAGCTAGTGGTAAAATGGATCAGTTTTTGTTGCCCAAATTTCCACAGGTTCAGTCAGAAATGAATGAATCTTTGGAAGTGATCTCAGACCCACAAAAACCTATAGATCTGGATGAAGAGAGTCAACCCTCAACCGCCGCAGCAGTCGAGGGTTTTGCCACTGGAAATGCTAACACTAACATTAGCTAACCTTGCAACACTATAGATGGTTTTCTGTGTGGCTGTATGTGTTTATGATTTCATGGAAAAGTCAGCGATTTTTCATATGTTTATGATGTATATTAATGATTGTTTCAATTCAATTCAAATTCAAAGATACTTTATTAATTCCAGAGGGAAATTTGTTTCAGTACACACAATTCAGAGATCAGACATACATGGGCAAAGACACATGGCAAGAAATGGCGACTGTGGTCATTCGCAACCCTGAGTCGCGCTTCCTTAATAGAGATCAGAGGGTTATATGAGGATTGGTTCAGGTGGAGGAAAAAAAAAGCACTTCAGAGTTAGGGCAGCTTTGCTCTGCAAAAAAAACCCACCTCAGACAGAGAAGCAACAGACTTCATACATCACACAACATAAGTGTCCACTAGGTGGGGTGGTGGGTTTGCGACTCTCCACACGTCAGTTCCTGCTGCCACGATAAGCAGCGTACGTCACCTCAGTCTGGACAGGGGAAGGAGGTCATTGAGGTTTACAGAGCACAATGACTCCTGGAACGATTCAGCGGCCTTCACAGCCCACACTCCCGCCCAGGCTGGGATAGTAGACAGAGTTGCCAAAGCGATGGCAGCATTCCACATTTCTTCTGAGGGGGAGTATTCGTTGCAGCCTTACAGGCTCAAGGGCACCAGATTCAGATTAGAAATTGTTTTGGGGCCAGACAGAGATAATTTCCTCTCTGTCTTAAAGTTCTGTTGGTCCTCAACCTCTCAAAATCCCAATAACGGCGTAAATTAATCTATCCCAGTCCGTGCTGATTCGTCCACTTTCTTCTTGCTGGCATCCATCTTTTGTGTGAAAGCATGAATCTCAGCCAAAGTTCCAAGCTTACGATTCATCTTGACAATTATGTGAGTCTGTGAATTCACAGCGCGGTGTAATCCGTCCCTGAGCTCGGGGAGAGCACCAATATTCCTCGACAGCTCGTTAATTTTCCGGTAAGCAAGGAAGCCTCCTAGTCCAAAGAGCAGGAAACCTGACACCAACACCACGATTATCCAGATGTCTTCAGAATCCTCTACAGACAGCTGAGATAGGCAAATCAGGTTCCACT